GAAGGCACTGAAGGCCTTTTGAAAGCCAAGAGGAAAGCATAGCGTGAGTGGAGGAACTCCAGAAAAGAATCTGAACGCACAACGTACATGACCTCGAGAAATCAATTCAACGTCAAAGTGAGGGGAGACAGGAGGCCGTTCCAGACGAGCCTTGCCCAGAAGCTAAAGTCGAACCCCGAAAACCTATATCGATTTGTGGCAGGTAGAAAATCCGCCAGCCAAGGGACTTGTGTCCTGGAAGGCCCGAATGGGGAGAACCTCCCCAGATTAGAGGTTGTCGAAGTCTTAAACACTGCTTTCGACAAGCAACCGAACATGTCTCCATCTAGCCAACTATCCGAGTAGCAGTCAGTACCACCAAATGCAGTGGAGTTGCGTGGAATAGAGGTAACTCTCGCTATGGTCCTCGAGAAGGCATTAAAGCCCAGCACACAGAAATCAGCAGGATGCAACGATATCCACCCAGCTGTGTTGAAACGATGTGTGGGTGCCTTGTGCAGCCCTCCGCGAAATCTGTTCCAACACCCCTCAGGCATTCATATGCCTTCATGAGAGTGGAAACGTGCCATTCTGTCTCCCATCTTCAAAGGAGGAGACGGGCAGAACCCTAAATCCTATCAACCAATAGCCCTTCTACCAGTGGTGTCAAAAGCAATGGAGGACATGGTAGACGACCATGTCAGAGAGTACTTGGAAAAGAGGGGAGCACTCAGCAATGCTCAACATGGTTTCAGAAAGTGTAGGTCCTGCACCTCAAACATTCTGGTGGCCAGTGATAAGTAGACGTCATTTCGGAGCCCTCCAAACCCCTACTGATGTCATTTTACTGGACTTTGCTAAGGCCTTTGACATAGTCCCGCACGCCCTTCTTATTCACAAGATATTAAGGTTGAGCATCAAGGGTCAAGTGCTCTTCGGGCCACAAGACTATTTAGACGACAGACAATTCTGCATTAAATTCCACAGAGTTTGCTTGACTTGAAGGACACCATCATCTTGTGTATCACAAGGGGCGATTCCGGGTCTGCTACTATTCCTCCTTTTTGTGAACGACCTCACACTGAATCTCGGCTCCCCAATTCTACTTAACTCTGGTGATGTTAAGTTATGGAGAGCTTTGATGTCCGAAACAGAATCAAGCTCACTGCAAAGTGATCTCAGGTTACTTGCAGAGTGGGTGGATATTAAGGGACAAGTACTTAATCCGAACAAAGGCTGATGCATGTTTCTCCACACCCCTGACTCCCAGAAGTTATCCTATTCTCTCTGTGGAACACAACTTTCCCACACCACCACAGAGAGGCTTAGGACTAATACTGACTGGTAAGCCAGACACTAGCCCCAGTTGTCCGGGAGACGCCTTCAGAGTCTACACAGTACCTCACTTCATGAGCAGACAAATAGGCGGCCTGACTCCAGAACTCTTTTTGAAGCTGTACAAGACCCAAATACGACCTCACTTAGAGGTTCACAACGTCGGTGCACGACGATATTTGAAAGAGATGTGAACCTCCTAGAGAAAGTTGAAAGGAGGGCTACAAAGCGTGTCGTTGAAATGAAGCGAAAACCCTACGAGGACGGGCTGAAGAATCTAGGACTTTACTCTTTGAGCTGCAGTAGATTATGTGGTTACTTAGTAACGGCTTGCAAATATTAAGTTTTCCATCCGAACAGTGGAATCCTACAGATCGCCACTGTGGCGATCCTCATCTTAACTCAAGGAGGATCGCCCACCAAAGAGCAAAAGCCCGTGTGCGTTAGCGCTTCTTCTCTCTGCGAGTTTGTGACCGCTGGAGAGCATTGCCTACTAAGATTGCTGCTGCTGTTTCTGCTGGCAGCTTCAAGAAGAGGTTGGACGGTTACGCAACAACGCATGGCTTGCGCTTATCCAGCTTGGATATGGACTAGGCTGATACGACTAGCCAACTCTGTCCGGCTAGCCCGCTATCGAATGCGTTGTAGCACCACCATCATTGCGAACTTGGCTCGACCTTGTATCTCCCTATAGATGTCCCTTCCAGTCACCATCTCCTACTAATAGAATTGCTATATTTATTCCCATAAGCCACTCTATAGTGTTTTTTGCCTATTCTCTTCCCAATGACCTCGCGCTCCCACACTTTAGTGAAAACCCTCCCCATCACCCTTGTCCCACGAAACTACTGATGGTTCTTTTTCCTAATCGTTGTTTTTTCTGTTGCTTATTTTTCCTCGCACTTTCTCTCCTTTGGTTTCTCCGGACATAGTTTCGATCTTTTTTTTACAACCATTCGGACCAATTATCTGCTGGCACGACACTTGAGGAACCCATCTGCACCACAGTATTTGGAAAAAAGATCAACATATACTCCTTACAAATTTAACCAACACCCAACTGTCCGTCTGGCCAACTAAATCTACAGCGGTTGGGTGGGTAGACCTGCTGCATTGGAATCCACCAAAGACCTGGTATCGTTCCGCAAGACCTATAAGCGAGTGCGAAGAAATCAATCGGTTTATACTAGCCCGTAAAAAGGTACTGGATATTGGAACTGAACACAGAAAAAGATCCAGGAGTTACACCAGGTGACGCAGTTGCAGCTTTTGCTCACTGTTGCCCTCCATTTGACATGACAAAGGGTTTCTCAGGAAAACTCTGGGGTTAGGTCTAACTGCTAGGTGTTTCGCTACAGCTTGTGTGCAGTGTACCCGTCATCGCCTTAAGGGTAACCCTTCAACCGTATATTCATACTTGAAGAAGAAAACGGATATCTTAGAACGGGTTCAGAAAAAGACTACGAAGAAATTGATCGAGCTACGGCACAAACTTAATCTCGAATCCCACAGCTGCATGAAGCTGCGCCCGTTCCAGTGCAGAGTGATTGGAATGGATATGATCATAGTGTGTTGCATTGCTCATGATCCTCATCATACCAAACGACCGATCTCAAGAGTTAATCTTAAACTTTAGGAGTATAGGGCATGTTTCAACAGTTGAGTGCGGAGTAGCACGCATAAGGATTCGCTCTTGCTCGCTTGCGGTTAGAGTATGCGGGCTATGGTACTGCCTTACCGGAGAAATTTTCATGGTACCAACTTTTGATGCTTTCAAAAGTCGATGAGATGCCCACACAGAGTTCCGTGATACAGATAGGCCGTGCTCAAGAAGCCATCTATCATCTTACAAGCCATGGGTAACAGAACTATCTGTAAACCGATAATAAAATAGCCATTCAAAACAGAACGCTTCAAGACTGATAAAGCAACCAGTGAACCGTTGTCCATTATTCTCACAGCTCGAAATTCAACCCGGTGTCCAATACCCAATATCTTTTTAGTGAGCTTGTGTAAACCAGTTGATTTCTTCCTACTCTTGCGGAACGGTTCCGGGTCTTTGACGGATTCCGATGCAGTAGATCCAGCCAGTCGTCTGCTGTAGCTCTGATTTACAGAACAGGAAGTTAGTGTTGTTAGTTAGTGTTAGTTTTTTGCCTCGGACTGTGGTGCAGTTGGCTTCTTCAGCTGTTCGGGCTGGTCGGTAGAGAGGGTTAGGGATGGTGAAAACAAAACCCAGAAAGGTGAATTGTGTCAGTAAGAGGGGAAAAGGAAAGTGAAACAATTGAGCAATCTGTTTGCTCCCACGTAGGGCTGGGAGAGATGCAAAGATATGAGGAACTTAGGTAAGTGAGGCTTATTCGTGACAAGCGGAGGGAATGAGAAGGGCTTAAATGGTTACAATAGAAAGCAAACTGGCTGTGGAGTTAAAATAGTTGGGGTGACTTGACATCAGTCGATTTCTTCTGTTTAGTTTGTGTTCCAGCCATATGTGGGCAGACCGTGGGTCTCTGCACGACTGTCTAGCCCCTTCTTGAAGCCTTCAATAGTTGTGGCGGAGACCACTTCAGCTGGCAGTGAGTTCCAGTACCCGCAGACTCGGAGGGAGAGGAACTGTAAACGCACATGAGTTTTTGACTTTTGGTGGGCTATTCTCTTAGGGTTTTCTCGAGGATCTCCTCAGTGGCCACCCAATAGTATTCCTCTGTTCGGATGACTTGGGTTATTTAGTATTTTGTAAGCCATTATCAAGCCACCTCGTAACCATCGGCAGCTAAGAGAATGTAGGCCTAGATCTTTCAGTCTATCCTCTTATGGTTTTCATTGCATTTCAACAACCCCTTTCGTGGCTCGCCTCTAGTCGTTCTCTAGTAGGTAAGTGCCAGTTTTCAGTTGTAGTGGAGCGAAGACGTTGCGGACCTCCAAGTGGGGTCGCATGTAAGTCTTGTGAAGCTTCAGAAAGAGATGTGGTGTGAGAGCGCCTAGTTGTCTACGTACAAAGTGTAGTACACCATATGATTTTGAGGCGTCACCTGGGAAATTGAAACTTGTGTCCAGTCTCTCCGCCACCGTCAAACCCAGGTCTTTTTCTGATGTGTTATGGGATAGACGCGAACCACAGAGATAGTAAGATACTTTCTGGGGATCAGGAGTGTGGAAAAACGTGGACCGGCATATATCCAGGTTAAATGCCAGTTCATTGTTAGTTCCCCATTCCCCTAGTGTTTTGAGGTCGTTCTGTAATGCTTTCGATTCCGCCTCGCAAGTTACTGCCCTCCATAACTTGACGTTATCAGCGCATAGGAGAATCTGAGAGCTGATATGTAGTGACAGGTCATTCACGAACAGTAGGAACAAGAGTGGGCCCAAGATTGCTCCTTGTGAGGCACCGGATGAGGATGTTCTTCAAGTTGAGTAGCCCTGTTGATTTTCATGCAGAACTCCCTATTGTCTAAGTAATTCTGCAGCCACGATAGCACCTGGCTGGGTATACCGAACCCTGCTATCTTACGTATTAGGATCATTTGTGATAGTTTGAAGTAATTAGGAAGAAACTTCTTCTGAAAGGGTTAAAACAGGAAAAATACACCCAAGATGTTTGTTATAGAAGAACGATAACTGTTTGTTTATGTATCTTTTTCGTTGACCAACATTAGAGGCAGTTCAGTTCAAATGTTGTCCTTCACATGACTGACCTTGGTTCTGGTGTGACACCTGAGTTGTGTCACCCTTCAGTTAAAAGTGGACATGTTCTGTCTCGACGCAAAACGATTACCGTTTGTATTTTGATCCTCATCAATGTCTTGAATTATATGGACAGATTTACTATTGCAGGTAATGATCGTTCATATATAACAAAGGTAATATTAGGTGTTCCGGAGAGTGTTAAAACGTACTACAACATCAGTGACTCAGAATTGGGCCAGTTACAAACTGTATTTTTTGTGTTTTACACAATTCTCAGTCCAGTGGCCGGTTATCTCGGTGATCGTTGGATAAGAAAGCGTATAATGCAGATTGGGCTTTCTCTTTGGATAGTTGTTACATTGGGAAGTTCTTTCATCCCTGCTCATGTAACGTAGTACTGTTCTGATATTTTCTTTAGCACTTTGGTCTGTTTTTGGCCACACGTTGCTTTGTCGGAATTGGCGAGGCTAGCTACTCCACCCTAGCTCCAACTATTCTTGCAGACTTATTTGTGGGAAATGCGAGAACCAAAGTCTTGGGTCTCTTCTACTTTGCTGCACCTGTTGGGAGGTAAGGTCAGTTTCTAAGTTATGGCATACAGTTCCTATGTGCTACAGTACATGTACCTGTTTTCCGCTAATTGTTACTGTGGCTCGTCCGTTTAGGGAGTCGGTCTTCAACCTAAGAATTCAGGTTTGAGCCCTTCTGCTATCGAGATCTAGCGAATTAAAAAGTACCATTAGCCCCTTCAAAATAGATGTGATTCATTGTCTGCTCCAAGAATGGACATGTGCCTGCTATGTGCTTTTTGGTTTCAATGCGTGTAGTTTTCCTGTCAGCTTTCATGTTCTTAGCTTCTCGATTGTTTTTGTTTTGTTTTCTTGGTGTACCATGTTGTAACCCCTCGAAATGGTAAGCTGTTGTAGAGCATTCATGTTTTATCCACACCATTGCAGAGCTGACAGCAAATTACCCATTTATAATGCTTGGTATGTTGACTCAGAACTGATGGATTGGTTGAGCTAACGAACCACTTAGGAAAACAGTACACACTACAAATATTCAAGCAGTTGTTGGAAGATTCACTTCGGAAGTTGTTTGTGATATATACGATGGTATTCGCGCAACACTGGATTTTATTAAAAGTCAGTAATTCCTATTCGATCAGTTATTAATAACTGACCTAATAGGTCAATATTCCTTCAATATTGAGGGAAAAGTTGTCGGAGTAGTATGAATTGACTTTGAATGTTCATATTTTATACTGAGCAACAAATATGATGTATCTCTGGAATTAGTTTTTATATGCATCTAGCCAATGCTCCTATCCAGCAGACGTTGTCGGGACCTGCCGTTCACCCAACTTATTTTCCCCAAGATTTATTAGGATATTTTTTTTCACTGGCAAAACCTCACATACAGCATTATTTCCTTCAACAAAGCGAATAAACAATTTAATTTTTTTGAAGCTGTGGTTCAGTGGTTTGAGATGGCTACCAACCATCTGATCGCGGGTTCGAACTCTGCTCCAACTACCGAGGTTTAGGCAACCAAGTAGTAGCTCTGGCCCTCACACAATATGTGTGATTTATTGCCTACTATACGAGTAGACACAGGGCAGCTGGGTGTTTTTTTTCTGAAGCAGAAAATCCGTTATTTATTTCGACACAGTACATAGGCATCAAGGAATACGCCACAAAGGTTTGATAGAACACTTTCACAGAAAACCCTTTGTTGCATAACTTACTTTTCATGAATAGAAAGAAAGTGAATTTCAGCAGAAAATTACTGTTGGTTTCTATTTTAAGTTGTGTCTAGTATCGCTTCAAGCCACTGTTTCGCATATTCCCATGGACCCAAGGAGATTTTAGGCAGCGATAAGGTCAAATGCACCTCAACTGTCCGTTGTCGTGTAGCACATCACACGCTATCTATCTCCTCACCTTTAGCAACCAGTTCCAGGGGTGACAAACAGAACATGTTCAGACCATTAAGATTGGTGTTCCGGGATGATATCACTCAATGAACGACAATCAGAGCAGTAAAACACACTGCCTTATATCAGAATTATTTGCATAGTGGTTGCACGGGATGCTAGCAGTTTTGCGGAAGCGATGATAACGGAACTCGTGGTGTCATTGAACATCTTCAGCTTGGAGATGCCCGGGTTTCACACGTGTAAAGCAAAACTACATGGATAATGTTCTCCTGGCACTTAACCTTCTTTAAAGATTAGTAGTTTGACAGGTATCCCAGATGTCTACTTTTTGATGCAGGATTTCAAATGCATCATAAGAATCATTCTTTGAGAGTGGTACAACTTGTTTTGGGCACACACCCATGAACATATGGTAAAAGCAGTCCAGTAGCACTTAACTAACAGGAGCAATTTTTCTCTCCAAAGGTTAGAAGCTGCAACTTGTACACTCACTGATCACAAAATATATGCTTTTCCACCCATAGCTATCAATAGAGAATAGCTGTAGGATGGCATTGCTGATGGAAGTTAGTAAGTCCCAAGTTTACATGTGATGTAGTATCCCTCAGCGTCACCAGTTGGTGTAAATATTTGGTTATTTCTTCGTTGTGTCAGATGGTGGATTTTTTGAACAACAATTTAGATTTTGGCTAAAGATGCAAGTCTGTGCTGAAGTAACACCTTAGGATTTTCGGAAATATATGGTGTGCTTTTCACTAGAATCAATAGCTACAAGCCTCTACTAACATGTTTTCGTCCTTGATAGTGTACGAAAATAAATTAGTTCCAGCTGTCACACTTCACAACAGCAAAGGCTTGATAAAGGAACAAAAGAGGATATAAAATGATGAAGGATATGCAACCAACGTTAGCGAAGATCTCTAGGGTTTTGAAGATATAAAAAGGGCGTACATTTGGTCCATTGTGATCTATTTTCAATCAATTCACTGAGGATTTTATTAGTGCCTACGGTGCGCTGTTGACTGAGATATGCATCAAGGACTTATCTCTGTTTTGCTTAACTTCATTGACTTATGAAGTTCTCTTCGTTTGACTTTACGCGGATTGATTTCTCTGAAGATCCATTAGTCGACGTGGATTATTCAGACGACATAATCTTCCTAGGTAATACTGACACGTCATAGATTACTTTGAACACAATTAGTGATGTAAGAATGTGATGCGTTTTCCGCCTTCCAAATATAGATTACTTTAGGATTGGTATGCGTCAGTACATCGTCTGTTCACCTACCTGGCTGGGCGGCATCGTTTCAACTACAGGTGGCGGCACAGATGAGGATGTCGAAGCCAGGATCGGAAAAGCAAGACAGGCTTTCATAGGTCTGAAATCAATGTGGAGATCTATTGCACTCACTATAAAGCGTAAACAAGATCCAGAATTTCAACACCAACGTCGAGTCAGTGCTTCTATATGGTTCAGAAACTTGGCGCATTACGGAAAGCATTTCCAACAAACTACAGACATTCATCAACAGCTACTACCTGCGCTCACTCGATATTGAAGATCAGATGGCCAGAAATAATAAGCAACAAGGAAATCTGGCTGGCAACGAACCAACCAACCAACCCAACAAATATGCAGAAGAAAGGGGAGATGGATTAGATTGGACATAGACTGAGAAGACAGTTTGGGGACATCACTCGTCGGACCAGGCTGTCAAGTGGAATCCAAGGGGGAAACGACGATTTGAGCGTCCCAGCTGACGGTGACATGGAGGAGATGGTGAGGAAGAAATGAAAGCTTGTGGGCAGTCGTGGAGCCAAGTTGAAAAGACTGTAGAGAACAGAGTGGTGTGGAGGCGTGCTATTGAAGCCCTATGTTCCACTAGGAACCCAAGGGACAAATAATAATAATGATAATAATACATCGTCTGACAAAGGATAGTGAAGTGTGTCAACTGTCTCACATACCTGAAAAATCGGATCAGCTGCAGTGGGTTGGTAGACGATGAAATATGCGCACAGAAAAAGAGGTTTGACTAAGCTCTTCTAGTGTATGGCATTGGCAAGATATCCGAATATCCAATAAGGGTCAGATGTTCTACTCGGCGCTTCTTTGTTTCCAGTTGCGTTATTATTCAACGTGGTCATTAAAGGTAGAGGAAGTGGGAAGACTTCAGGTGTTCCATTATTGTTATATCCATAACATTGTCACCGAGTCGTATAACTATAGGGTTAGTGATACATAAACTAGGTGTACAATTCAAGTAGAAGAGACATATCAGTCAAGGTGATTATAAACCTTCATTGACCAAGGTGACTAGGATATGTTGTGACCTGTTAGGTCTATCTCTCCCTCGACGCTCTACGTTTACCGAAGTGGGTTTAACTTGGAAAAAGGCTAAGGGTAACGAGACTAACTTGTGGCATGAATTCTCTAAGTACAAATCACACCGTAGTTTGAGACAGCGGCAGTATCAAAAGCTTAGTTACGTGGAGAAAGAAACTAGTAACCGAATCTTTGTTTATTGAGTCAACAACAATTACATACAATAAAAATGATTCTGTATCTATTTCAAACATATGGAAAGAAGAGAAAATTAAAACTATCAAAACCATGTCTCAAAGTTGTAGAATTGCTCGATATGAATATGGACAATAAATTACATCTGAGACGTTACCCAGCAAATAATTTTATTTCACTGTGGCATCCTATAAACAAACTAAAGCGGAAGAATACGTTGAGACTGAAGATGTGATAATTTATTACGATCACTGAATGACATTGGTTGATTCTCTTTCCCAGACATTACGATTAATGATGGAGATGGAAAACGGCAAAAATCAACTAACTGGTTAGTTGCTAAGTTAGTCAACAACAAAAGAATAAAAGCACATGATATTTATATCGTCTCTCATGGCATTGGATTTAAAATAATTTCTTTGTTTGAAAACTGCTTGACAGTGATAGTGCTGCAGTCGAATAATTATAATTATAGATAGAATTAATGAAGCAAAATGTGAATCTAAGACCACTACTTCCAGGTTTCCTGGAAAATAATGATGTTCTCCAACAGTTTCTAATGGTTGTCCTAGCTGTGTAGGAAAATGTCGACTTTTTAATCTACTTCCACGTGTCAACGGAAACTGATGACTCCAGGCGACATATCTGAGAATCAGTCGCAGTGGTTGAGATGCATCCACTTCTAATCTTTATCGTGACTATTGTTACACTTTTTGTTTTTGCTAGCCCGTGTTTTCTTGTTATGGTGTAACATGATGTTGGAATTTGAGGTATGATGATTTGGACCGTTAGCCAGTAACTACGAGTCCAACTTTAATATCACCCGACTGATTAGTCTTATGGATCTAGCGGGCTTTAGAAAGTTTCACTTCCCTACACACTTCAAACTCATCTTGTTCTGACTCGGTCTGTTTTTGTCTAACCTGATCTTACTTCACCTAATATTATTCTCCGAAAGAGACGTTAGGTTAGCATGCGTTGCGAGTCCTGGCTGCCATAGTTGTTAAAGTTTTGCAGTCAAATTCACTTCTATGCTTAGGATCCTTTGACTGACATTCACATTGCTCATTCTATGATTCCACCAGAAGCAGTCGATTCTTATCAATTCATGTATAGTCCAATACTTCCAGTGACCACAGTATAAAAACACGAAGTGTCGATCATTAAACTCACCTTTTGATTGATATTAAAAGTTTGTGTAAGTTGGCAAAAGTCGATCAAGCCCTCTTTCCAGTTATTGTAGCAGCAACCGGCCAATGAGCGCCATTACGAGTTTCCAAATAATCAAAATAGTTCGAGACTTCATCCTTTCTACACCCTTTGAACTAGTCCTGCAGTTTAATCTTATTATTTATTGGTGTAAAATGCACGTCTTATGTATTCAGGTTTCTCTCAGTGCCTTTGAAAATCCTGTATTTTGTCAACTTCTTTTCCTAACAAGTGTATATCGTCCAAATGCTCGTAGTCAACTGAATGTTCCGCAGGTAGGAAATAAATCCCTGAAAAAGAATTACCCTCATCACTGCATTTATGATAAGGAATTGCGATGGTAGATATCTCTAGGACACTTCACTTTTGCATTTACCTTACAAAAACTCTCCAAAGGCCCCAATATGGTTGCAGTAGACCAAGTATACAACCTCGATTAGCATGGCATGTTTTCTTGCTACTTTTTGCAGTCAAATTGGCACCACAATTGTCGGTTAATAGAGTCAAAGTTGTCCCCAGATTGAGATAAAAAGCAACTATTGAGTGTCGGTAAGCACCCATATCTTCTACAAATTGGTTTAGTTTCACCATCTGGTCAGCTCACTCCTATTCGGGTGTATAACCTGTCTATTTTCTCTGCCCATTTCATTGGTAAATCATTCAGCAGAAGCACTAGTAATCAGGTGCATGAAAATTCCTATCGCTAAGGTCTAGTGACTATTCCACAGTTGTATATTAGTCATAGAAATGGCTTTATTCACTTAAATTGCTTAGTCTAACATCAATTCTGTCAGTGAGATTGTTAAATATTGCGGAATATAGCACTTAATTGGTATCCGTCTAACCCGGATTCGCTTGTTCTGAATTCAAAGAGTTTTTGGAGTAAAATTAGTACACTATTTCACCATTTATTTAACCCTAATTAGTTTTTTTGGTGATAATAGTGAACTCGTTCTATTTCTCTGACCTCTTAATGAACACTGATTTAATTTCTCTTTACAAATTTTGCTAACTGTATTCTGTGTATATGTTTTTAGTGGATTAGGCTTCATTGTTGGTTCAGAAGTAACCCGATTGACAGGATCTTGGCAATGGTCGTTACGAATTACACCAATGTTTGGGATCATTTGCATCATTCTATTGAGTATTTTACACTCAGATCCACCCCGTGGTGAAGCTGAAGGAGGTTCACATATGCGTACTACTTCTTGGTGGCTAGACATCAAGTTACTGTTCCTTAACCCAGCCTTTATGTTTATAAGTAGTGGGTATACGTGTGTTTGTTTTATTTTGGGTTCACTTTCGTGGTTCGCAATTGACTTGATTCAGTCAGCTTTAAATGCTAAAAATGACAATCCATCAGCTTGGAAGAGCTATAAGTAAGTTTAAGTTTCATCTTTAGTGTTTTTTTGTGACTGTTTAGAAACGAGCACTGACCCTATGTTAAACAAAAACGTTTGCGTAAAAACTCATGAATTAGAAACATAGGTTTCGAATGCTGAAAGCTTACACATCTATAGTTTAAACAAAGGCTATGCAGTCACACACTATCCCCTTTTTTTTCAGGTGCCTAAAGGATGACTACCCTTCCACGGTGTGAGAAGCTGGAAAGTGTCAACCGCCCACACGGTTTTAGTAGTACAGAAGACCCAATCAAATATAGCCTATCCCATTGAACTCTATCTCCTCCTTTGTTTTCACTTCCTGATACTAATATTAGGCCTCTTACGCCTTACCCAACCTCTCACTCTGCAACCATTGCCAACGATCACATACATTCCTAGTCTCCTAAAGCTCTGCCATCGATTTCATGTGGAAGCTTTCAGCGTTCGAACTCCATGCCAAACCGGACAGCAAGCATTGCTTGCCAGAACTCTGGAATCTAGCCATGGATATATACTGTGTCCTTAAGACACGTATATAGGACCCGAGTGTGTATATTAAATTGACGCACGATTTTAGAATACTTTTATCAGATGTCACCATGACGAACAGCTTTCTAAAAGCAGCTGTTTTGCGACTGAAGGCGTTTTAGAAAGGACAGAATTTTATTGGTGAGCAGCTGAGGGAAGCAACTATATACGCAAAAATAAATCTGATAATGATAATGAAACGATAGTATAGTTCGAATGTCAGGATAACGACAATAAAATGACGATAAGTTGAATGGGTAAGTAAAAAGTTCGTCACCGTAAATTTCGTTTTGTGCAGAAATGTTTGATGAACGCTTTGGATGTCAATGTGGATTGACGACATTTTATTTGGGCCTTGATACTGTCTGGACGCCTAAACCCACGGTGGTCACGTTCAAGCAACGCTTTTCGGACTTAAGTTTCATCCTTAAGACAGCGAAGAAATGTGAGGTGATACATTCTTATGGTCGCCGGTGACCAAGATAAGTGCGTACGCCATTCCTCCTTTGTATCGTCCATGCACAATACTGGTGTAGGCTCAAAGTTTTGTTACTCTTAGGTGTACCCTTTGTATAAACCAATCAGGTTATCACACCGACTCTTCGCTTTCGCCATCTCATTTTTGTGGAAACCCCTGTCACATTAAAGCAGTAATTAAGACTACGCTACCAAAGGCTATTAACACAAGTCACAAATGTGCATTTCCATAGGATGACATTGATCATCCCATCCTTGTCCATACCAGGACGTTGGGGTGGGGGGGGGTGGGTACAGTGTGTCCGTTTACTTGTCGTGTAACTGTTGATGTTTTCTGGTTTCCCTCATTTTGGTCACAGTCTCTTCTGATGGAACTTCAGCGATATTTTGCTGTGTTCTTACTCTTGTCATTGATTGTATTGAGTGTTGCGGCGGGTTTTCTCATTACGTAGTATGTTTCGCTCGAGTTAAAAATTGAACATCAACCAAATCTTTCTAACAGTGCTCTCACTACTGATAAGTACTGTATAAACTATTGTGCAATCCGTGGATTATTTTTACTTAATATACCTAATTCAAGTGTCTGAATCCTTATAGGCACTGGGTAAGTTGAAAGTGCCTTTCAAATTCCTACAGACTGCTTAAAGATGGCAGTGCTACAACCTAAACTGATACGCAAGTACTCGAGTTTCTATGTATGCCTGTCTGTCAAGTTCACTCGCATCTACAATCAAAAAAGTGACAGACAAATGGATAGTTTACTTATTCCCCTTCCATTGGGTTTGGGCTAAACTTTAACGAAAGACGTAAGCGATCGCAGAGTAACTATGTGCTTTCATCATATCCAAGAAGTACTGGTGTGTATTCATGATACATATAACTATTTATTATGCTTACATGTTTACAGACATCAGTGATGCGATGTTGTTTATCTTTCTCTATAAAGCATTCCTATCGTAATTGGAGCCTCAACATGCTTTGCGGGGATTTCCGGTGTCTTGTCTGGTGCACAATTAGGTCATTATTTTCGCCGATGGATTCCTGCAGCAGATGCTTACGTGTGTTCTGCCAGTCTTTTTTTATGTTCCCCTTTTCTATTCTTCGCTTTGGTGTCTCCATCCTGGAACTTTTATGCATGCGTTGTAAGTTACTTTACACAATAGCTTATTACATAGAATGTTGGTAAATTGTAATTGTTGTGTAAGTGGTAGCCATATCAGCTGAGAATAATTCCACAGCTATGCTCCAAGTAATCTCTGTTTATAGAGATGATAAAACACTTTACTGTTTTCTTCAGACTATATGTGGATATGTATTCATATTGTTCCTGTTTTGTTTTTCAGGTCCTCGTTTTCATTGTAGAATTTCTTTTATGCATCACATGGGCACTTGTGACTGATATGACTATGGTGAGTATCAGTTGTCTATTCCCCCATTTTTTGAAATTTCTGTTACTATATATCTTATCGTTTCAAATAGTTTTTAAGTTGCGCTAAAAATGAAATGGTGAATTTAGACTATAGGCTAAAGAAACTTTTAAATGCCAGTAACTTGGTAAATAAACAAGTCTAGAGATGATTAATAGAGTTATGAAAAAATTCATTGATATATGCCGATAGGAACTGACCACTTCTATAGTCAATAAAAAGGACTACTACGATTTTTAATGGTAGTTCCCTTCTCCATCTTCAATCCTTTTGTCTCTAACCTTAATATACTGGTATGAGTTGTGTCAACTTTTACGGTTACGCAGTAATTCAAGGTCGTATGTCAATATTGACTGTCTACAGGAGAGAGCTATCATAAAATTCACCAGTCTACTTAGTAATCCTCAGTATTCGAAAGATTGGCTCTCGTTTTTGAGTCTCATTAAGAACCTTATCTGTCATTAGTAGTGGTGGTTGTGTTTCATTGGTTTAGAAAGATAACTTTCAACCAGTGGATCTCGGGTCCGAAGCTCACCCCACCTATGGACGTGTGGGGAGCCAGGTAGTTTCATCATTAGCCCACACACAATCGGTGTGGCTCATTGCCTACTGCACAAATGAGTGGAAAATATCTTTACCAGTATTGGTACATTTTGAACTGTGCCACAGTCTCCGACCATTGACTCCTACCAGAAAACTTAAATTTACCTACACTTCAATAACTTAAGTATCTAACGTTAATTTTTCACTACCATGATATTAGCTTGTTTTAAGAATCGGCAAGTTAGGTTCAGAAAAAAATCTACACAGTGAGATTTTTTTGGGAAAGTGTGTTATTGTGGCGAAAACCTCAGCACTGGAGTCAAATATGCATATCGGTGAAACTAATGCTTTCAATGAGAACGGAACTCAGTTAATGATATCTTGAGAAGGATTTTTCTATGAAGGTGATGCACTTCAGGTGGTGGTATCCTTTGATTGTTGACAGAAACAAGTCAACTGTGATTCCTCATTATCGAAAATGTTTTTATTATACGATGTCGCCTAGAAAGACGATGAAAGCGCAGTTGGTACAGCATCGGGTTTGGAAATCCGATGGTTCGAATCCGACCGCGATCCAAATTTTCATTTCACCTTCAATCATCACCCAGTTTTTACGCTGTAGCAGAGAGTGTTCAATGCTAAAGTTACATGTGAACTGCAGTGTATTTGTCCTTCCTTACTCAACTTGAAATTCTTCACTCTGCTAAGAAACAATGAGTGTTCTAAGTACTTTTTGTTTGTCAACTAATTGATGTGAGTTATGTACCCATTAGTTTCTGTCTGTCTTATCCAGTTTTGGGGTATTCACTTGTTACCAAAGGTTTTGATCATCATAGAAACACCACAGAAATTTATAAAAATGTTTTGCACTAATATAAGAGTAGAATTTGGATACTTTGGTACTGCATGATTCATTTATAGTCCCGTTTTGTATGTATTACACAGTGAAACACCATTATTCACTTACTGATGACATTTTTCATTACTGAAAAACACCGCAGTGCAAATATTTCTTCAATCCATATTTTATTACAGTTATTTATTTAATTCTGAAAATAGAATGTTTCAGTTTAGTAAATAATGCAATATACAACTCGACAACCATGTGCAGGCTAATCCACTAGGTAACAAACCACTAATTTCGATATGAAGTTAGGGCTAATTATGTCGTCTAGGAAAGCGTTGAAAGCTCCATGATTAAACAACCCATTCAAAGAGCAGAGAATACAACCAAGATCATCCACCTGGAGTACAAATATTCTCCACCAATTCAATAAACCTCACCTATTATTGAGTTGACCGAGTGAATAATACTAGTAAATATGCAAACAATGTTATCACAGTGGGACACTTCGACTGAATACGAATAATGACCCGCAAAAAAGACCCTCCTGTGACTGTAAAAAACACTTTACTTGATAGCAATACATCATTTGTTTGGAGTTTTTATGCACATGTCAAATCACTAGGTCAGAAATTGGATATTTATTTTGATTGGTCAACTGTAAGATAAGTTGTCCAACGAGGTTTTTCTTGACCACACAGCAACATAAAGCAAAGTGGAAATACAAAAACCTCTACCTTAGTGGATAGTGACTTAGAATGTTGATTTCCATTTGGGCCGCTTCCTATCAGTTGTGTGTTTTTGAGCAGAGGATGGCTGAAAATATTGTCTGGTTGTCCGCTCTTCTGTAGGTAGAGCGGTGTGCAAGCCAGTTGTCCACCGGGTCGACTCATGATATGTTGAGTCTAAGCGCACCTTTTAAAAACATTTTCGTTACGTTCCACTAGTACGGTATTACGGTGTGTTTTTTACTGATATCATGTAATACTTCGTTCAATATACCAATGCTTAGATATTAAATTATCTGTGACCATAGTGTAACGTACTACAACAGATTCATTAGGGATTTATATTTTTATTGCTATCTACACAAGTTGTTTGAACCAGGAAGTAAATGACATTGTAACTGTCTTCAATAATATCACTTTTCAGTTGCATATCATGCAAACTCAATGTGAAGTTTTTTACTTCCCACTAGTAGTCAGTGTAGTACGTGTTATATAAAAATCCCCGCAATTATCCTGTCTCTCTCTTTTAATCAACTTCATCTGTGGTGCCAGCGAGATATCTGACTATCTATCAAAGGACGATTATACTGCGCTCCAGTCCGTTCTGTTCTGTTGTACGGCTGTGAGAGATGGCTGTTGAAAGTAGAAGATATAAAGAGATCACAGTGTTTTTATCACAGATATCTTCATAGCATTGCTTGTGTTTGGTGGAATCACCATGTGAGCAATGTTGAGGTCAGGTGGAAGGGTGCTCATCAAGACAGGCAAGCTGATTGATGAGGCTGTGAACCCTAGTCGGTGGAATATGGCTTGGAAGTGTACTGCGTATGCAGAGCTACCGTCTACCTCGACGTGTCATGCTGGGTGGGGGGGGGAGTTCGATTATAGTTGGAAGGAAGTTCAGGGTGACCAGACCAAGACGTGGCAGTAGTGCATGAATCCCCTGACTGTTGGTTTGAGCCGTGTAAGCTGCCTTGCTGGAGTCTCCGAGACGATAGGAATCAGTGGTTGTTGACATGGATGAAAATCGGTCACAATGGCCTAGATATATTCACTTAACATCTCCTAAGGCTTGAATATTTGCGCTTACCGTTATCTTCAAATTGTTTAGTCTGATACAACTTGGTGTGCTTTGATATCAATCTTTTTCTATCCATCTGTTCGTTGTATACTACTTTGAAGTATGGCAAGTTGAACCGATGCACTTGTATGCAAGGTTCTACGTTGGTTTTGTCTGTCTGTCATAGTTTGAAAAAAAATACTTTTTCTATTTTTGATTATGTTTTAATGTCAGTGGAGATATGATATTATTCCGTTTTACTTTTGGTTACTGTGTGCATCGAGTTACATAAACTAAGCTTACGTATGTGTCGTTCTATGATCATGCCGTTTTCACTGTGTGTTGATTTTTGTGTTATCAAGTTGCAGTTAATACTTTTGTCTACTCTGTTTTACTAACCGATTGGTATTTCCATCTAACTTAGAGTGTGGTCGTACCAACTCGTCGTTCTACAGCTTCTGCTCTTCAGATGATAATGAGCCATTCACTAGGCGATGCTATCAGCCCAGCTATAATTGGTCGAGTAAGTGTAGTATGTTCATTGTTAATGAGCTTTATTCCATATTTTACAAGATATTCAAGTCTGAGATTTCGATAAATTAGTGTTGAATGTTATTTATGCTGTTCCATTCCTACTGAAGTATGCTTTGAAGAACAATAATTTGATCATTATATATATATATATATATATATATATATATATATATATATATATCGTAAAAAACCAATCGATGTATCTAAATCAGTCATAAATGTGATCAATAACGGCTCAAAAAGCTCAGTAGTAGCGTCTATGATCGCAACCACGGTTTGTGCGTATTTGAATCTCTCAGCAAGCATGAGTTCCCTTGAAGTTTCAGATACACCCTACTGACGAATGCCGACAAGGACGAAACTTGAATTGAGCATTTCTTCCTACCTGTCACTTCCAGACCATATCTATGAAAGTGCACTGTGATATTCAGTCTCCTAGCTTGGGAGCCATATTGCAAATTGATCGATTGAATGCGGTCAGGACTTAGGAGTAGACAACATAAAGTTGGTCACTCTCCAGGAACCAATAAATGTGCAGAACTAATACTCGAAGTTTAGTTGTCTTACTTCCTTTAATCGTCAGGAGATTGTCAATCTAAATGTTAAATTAGTCTTGTAATGAATTATAAAACCATACACTACCAAAGCGAATTTGTTTTGATAGGATCATGAAACTTCGTGTATGTGATAAAAATTATCAGAGATGTATTTTGTACAAATGTTTGACACTGCATACTTTTATATTGAGTGTTTCGTGCCCTAAATCTGATTTTCAGCCTAATATACCGAAAGATTTGGCTCATTCGCTTAGGAACTCGAATTTTGACCAATGTGTTTTAAAAACAAGTTATTCAGCGAAGAGGACTCTTTTCAACGAATTTATTCTCAAGCTGTACATTTGTATATGTATGACATTTAAAGACTGTAATCCGTGAGGAAGATTTAACTAAAATAATGGGGGGTTGAAGCAATAATAATTATGGTGGTGATAATCATAATGTTGATAGTTGATGACGTACAGCTTGAGAATAAATTCGTTGAAAAGAGTCCTCTTCGCTGAATATCTTGTTTTTGATGTCACAATGTGTTTTAAACGAGATTCCCTCCTTAGGCAACCCTGCAGTAGTAGTAGTGTCGTACCGCCCTCGCACCATAAGTGTCTTTATAGCCTAGGACATGAAACATGTACCGGTCTGAGTTAAATTATATCGACCATACAGCGACAAGTCGATCGATCTACTCGGTTAGTTAGTTCTATGTCAGCTGACATTTCGTGTGATTTGAATAGCTAAGGTGATAGCTCATTGTATTAGCATTCATATCCATATAATTTCAATTGTATTCTATCAATATTACTTTTCTACTGAACAAAGCCCTCAAAACTAAACAGCGTAGTAAATATTATCAGTCAATAACAAAAGGTAACTGATACTGGATGATGATTGAAGGTGAAATGAAAATTTAGGCCGCGGTAGGACTCGAACCAGCGACCACGTATGCTCTACCAACTGACCTACGAGGTCAGACTGCTAACCAGATTTTTGTTTCACTTCAATCACTACGTGTTTTGTCCGACTACCATGTGAATTGTTGACGCGTTACTACTGCTTGATCGTATTCACACCGGCTGCCTAGTCGGGAATTCTCATCTCAATCCAAATCTAACTGAATTAGAGAGCGAGAGCATCATTTTGATTGTCTGAGATAGCCGTGGTTTGGCAGACTAGTACGGATACTGGGTGGTGTATGAAAATTTGGACCGCAACAGGATTCAAACCAGCGACCACCAGGCTTCCGCCCGATACTCTACCAACTGAGCTACGAGGCCCGACTGCTGACCACCTTCAATCATCACCCAGTATCCATACTAGTCTGCCAAAACATGACTATCTCAGATAGTCAAGAAGATTATTGATGCAATACGCGGAGGGGAAATAGTGAAGATATCGAAGCTAATTTATATTTATCGGTTGGAGAATGATGGTAAGATAAATTTTGTGACCAGTGAACCGTTTGATTATCAATAGTTTGCTCTTATAGATAGGGCTAGGGTTATTATTAATGCTAGTTGGTTGGAGGCAATCGGCAGAAAGCCTTGAACCTAGGTTTCGTGCTTGTTGGGACTCGTCAGCAAGGCGTATTCACAACCTTGACAGAACTGATGTCCCGCCTGGGGTTCAAACTTGCGTCACGCGCTGTTGTGGTCAACGTCTCTACTACTGAGCTACTCGGACCGCGGTCGACCTCCTCTGGGACAGGGTTACATGTATTGACTGGTCATAGGGGTGCATCCAGTTTCATGTCGTTTATTCCTGAATGTAGATTGAATTCTATCGATCATATTTGCATTGTGACCACCAAGGTAGGGGGCTCAGCATAGCGGTGCATATTAGTAGATGTTAGTTAGTTGGAGGCGATCAGCAGCTTTTCTTTCGTTCATCGCGTTCACCTTAACGGCTGAGCTGAGAAGTGTTTCGACTAGTTGTACAGGTTTATATTTTGGCAGGTAAAAAGCATGCAGTTCAAGTGTTGTTCCATCTATGCTTATTTCAAAGTTGGTTATTTCAGCATTGTATTTTCTTAAATGATAATTTAAAAGTTTGAGTGGCCATCATGTTCCGATTTCAGCATAAATTTCCTAGTGAGTCGGGTTTAGTTTAGCTGTTTAAACAGTTGAGATGTATAAATCACATCTACGGTGGTTGGTTACCGGAGGAGGGCAATTTATTACTGACTGGATTTTGTCGGTCATTTTGTAATGTGATCACCGGTCCATTAAAACCAGGATCACAATGCAGTTTGATAAATGTTATGCAGTTGGAAGCAAATTGTTACTCCATGACTAGACTGCGGTGTGGAGTTGTGGCTCATTTGTCCAGATAGTTGACTTCCAACTAAGTGGGTCACGGGTTTGAACTTCCCTTCACCTACTGAGGTTTACGTAGCTTCGTAGCATCATTGACCTTCACACAAAAGGTGTGGTTCATTGCCTACTATACGAGCAAATGTATAGTAGCTGAGTAGATTTCAATTTTCCGATCTGCGTTGATGCTTCGTCTAACATTAGGGAGCGAAGTGACTGAACAGTCAGAGACCTTATCACATCTCGACAACTGACAAGTCTTTCATTGAACGATCCTTATTGTTGAGTTATAACTGGGTTAAAGAAGTAGGGAAACTGTTAGCTAATATCGATTTTTTTGGTGAACTGATGGTCGGTATTCCTTAGGAACTCTAAACACATTGTTGCTGAGACGTAGCATTTGTTTCATCTCATTTTGAATTGGAGGCAAAGAATGGGTGCGTTCCAAATTTATGTTGATTATTTCATTCACTGGTATGGTTGTTAAACCAATAGCATGTCAATAATATCCTGTTTTTTTACTTGAATAATACTGTGGTATTTTTCCAGATAGTAACTGTTATTCAATCTAATTGTTAACTTTAGATATGTTTCATATAAATTAGCCGAGTTATTAAGCATCACATGTTCCATACAACTCTTTCATTGTATTAACAACTATGAAAGAAGTAAAATAGTGTCAGATGTAAGAATTTCAGTTATATTCGTGTTGGTGACTAATAGTAGAATGCATGATGTGCGTTCCGTCTTATTTGGGACTTGTCATTCTGGATGCACCGGCACTCCGATACGTACTGTTGTTCCCACCGGGACTCGAACTCAGTATTCACTGCTTCAAACATCAAAACGTTATCCAGTAAACCAAAGATTGTCATCTGCCTTTTTGTTCCATGATAATATTATTGCAATACATTTTTTTTTCACTCTGAAGAGGAAAACAAAACAAACTAACTAATACAACCTTACAATACACTATTTTAGATTGCAGTAGCTATTACCGATGTACATTCCTTAGAAACACAATATTTGGGTTTGCAACGTGCATTGTTTCTGAATACATTTGTTTGTGCTATCGGTGGTTTCCTGTTTCTTATCGTCACTTTATATTTGGTCAAAGGAAAAAATGATGTTCAGAAAGCTATTCAAGGTAAAGGTGTTAGTACCATTATTATTATTATTATTACTTTTATTATTATCTTATTTTCCCTAATCATTTTTTCCCCTGCTAACAATTGTTTGTCAGAATGAATAGACATAACTTTGTAACTATGACCAAATTCATACAACTTGAAGGTGTCATGTCAGAGTTGATGGTAATCTTCAGCTAAGCGAAACTGGAATAAGTCAATCACATTTTTAACTTTGATTTCTATCACCGGTAAACATATTTTTTAATATCAATAAACCACAACTGGTACTAGATATAGTTTATATTTATGTAAGTTACAGAGTGTTTGAAATAGAATAATTTCAACGTTACACTTGGAAGTTTGATGCGTAAACAAATGGTACTATGTCATTCTTCTGCAATCCTTATTCTTCCTGGATTCAATGATGATTATTAAGAAAGTTGTTTATCACTTTTTATCGAGATGTCATCTAAAAAAAAAACTACAATCATCCATTCTAGTGACAAATGGATTTTGAAAGTGTTGAATCACCACTTCTGAGATGATTGATAGTTCTGGAATGTCAGTAATTTTCTCTGCATCTAACCGTTGTCTATGGGCTGTCATATCCTAGGAGTTGTAAGTCCAACTGGTACAGATGCTAATTACTTAAATTTGTTTACATTCAATAACCATTTAACGTTTGAAGGATTTAGAAAGATGATATTCCAAGTGAATATTACTTTACTTGCCGACTAACCTTACATTTCTTTCCAATGAGTCTGTAAAATGTTGTAAACCATAAATCATCCTTTTTAAATGAGTTTTCTGTGACAACATTGTTAATTGATGCAACCATTATATGAATGAAAGCATTGAGCTGCGTAACCTTTGACGTTTAATCAAATGAACTATCGCCCAATTGAATATCAGACCAGTGCTCACTAGTAACGGATTTTAAGAGAGATTTTCTCGACTTCTGTTGAGTAACTTTGACCTATAGGGTCAACGAAGTGTGTAAACTAATAATTGAGCATAAGATTGGAGGATGGTCACGTAGTGTTGCTTATTTATAGAAGAGGGGAAATGTGAATCATCGGTTTTTAGCCACATAACTGCGTAGCAACAAGTCCACCGTGAGACCTGAATGTCCTTTTATCAATCTCACATATTGATGCGAGTGAGTAATGGAAATAAATCGTGAACCGAAGTGAGGAATCGATTGTTTAGTGTGATGCTGGTTTTTCAATGATCCACCAATTGATGTCCAATTTTGACGAAGTTAACCATTTCCCCCAAAAATCAACTCGGAGTTGAACGCTGATGAAATTATTTAAGAATAATTTAGATAATAGTTACCAGTTTGTTTCCCTGAGGAACTGCGAACCAAACTTCCATACCAAATGTTAAAATTATTTTATTTTAAACATGTGATTTACATAAACAAAAACTATATCCAATACCAACCTTTTACTTGGCACCCAATATTTGCGAAACTATTCGGTTATACCTTCATTATAGTTCATATAAATTAACAACTGGATCGAGGCTATCGCATTCACAATTCTAATTAATTGAATTACCGAAATTTAGTCATAAATGATGTATCACCTTATTACATTCTTCTTGTTGAACAAAAATATACAAAACTATGGAATTAGTATTTTCTCACCTATGTTGTACAATCTAACCGTTAGGAATATCATTGACTTTGAGTATTTGGATTCTTTAACAAAATATCTTAGTAGAGTTCGAAAGGAAACATATAAACAATTTAATCGATCAATTTTTGAAAGTTTTTCTCTTACTTAACATAACAATGACAAAAATTATCGAAATGTCTTCGATTGGATACAGTCACCAATTGATTTCGTGAATAACTTTTAACATTATGATGGTAGTTAGGAAAAATTACTTACTAGTGTTATATTGGTTCAACGTAGTACTTGTTCGACAGTTATAAATCGATCGTGAAGAAAATGATATTCATCAATGGGACAACTGATGACACCACCAGCACAAACCCTTCACACAGCAATACCGCTGTTCAACCTGCGCAGCTGGAAGATACTGCTGCTGAGAGAGAGGGAGGGGGAGAGAGAGAAAGAATAACAGCACTATCAAAGTACAGCTTTTCAGTAGTAGAAGTTACAGAATAATCGCCATTTGTTTGAATTCTGTTCCATATCTGATAAATTTTTAAGTCAGTGGGTTCCAAGGAGTTGTCATGCTGCAATATATGCTTATCTCATATAACTGCCGTTTATCCCACGGTCAAACTTCATGAACGAACTATTTCTTCAAACCAGTTTCAGGGTTGGGTAAAATCACTTTATTCAACAATTGTCTCCAACATATCCGAACTTACAATTCTGGACTTAGCACTCACGTTTTATTCTCATCATCTGTGTCTAATATTATACAGACAGTAGTGGTCGAATACAGACGCTCACTGTAGAAAAGTCAATTCTTAGAAGCGTATCACAGAACTAGTCGTACCGGAATTTTGTACATCGAACCATCTGCAGTCAGATTAATGTTACATCAGCTCCAAAGGTAATCCAGAATAGCGCATTCAGCTTTAGTTTTCTATTAGGAATATCACACATTACCCTTCCTTCAGCTCTCATACAACCCTCTAGATACTCCTAATGGTCAAAACTAGATGTGAGTGCAGGTGCAGACTTTAGTGGATATTCCGACTCTTCAGTAATACATACGTATCCGTTGACCAAGTGATAAGCACTGGATGTTTTCCATCCTATGATTTTTGCAGAGACATCGTCACCAGGCAAATACTTTTCTAGCAGAGTATAAAGGTATTTCTCCATATGAAAGCATTCTATGGCAAGAGAGGATCGTCTGTCTGTCCGCATTCATACCAGTGCGTTCAAAGCGGCTTTCAGTTTATTATGATATTCAAGATTTCAGGCAACATCAGGAAGGGGTATATCTTCATTAGTACAATCGATTATGACATAATATCGTGACTGGCTACTATTTTCATCTACAAGGCTTTTACTGAAGATGCATGCATACTACTAGCCGTCACTTTTTCGTCTCAATGATAACATTTAAAATATTTTTCACGGTGAATACTGTCTAACCATTGACCTGTTGATTGATGTTTGTTAGTACACGCCGTTTGTGATATCAGAGCATAATTCAAAAACATATCAACTGCTAGATTTGTAGCTCGACAATTTTATGTTGTATCATTCTCTTATGAAGGCGGATGGCATAAATGTACATTCAATCAGAGTAATTCGAGCAGTACTTTTACACCACTATTTTCATTTTTATTATTTGTCCTTGGGTTCCAGTGGAACATGAGGCTTCAGTAGCACATCGCCGTTTAACTCAGTTCTCTACAGTCTTTTTAACCTGGCTCCATGACTGCCTACAAGCTTTCATTTCTTCCTCATACGATCTCCATCTCACCCTCAAACGCCCAACTCATCGTTCCCATTTGGGTTCCACTTGACGGCCTGGTCTGACGCGTGATGTCCTCAAACCGTCTTCTCATTCTATGTCCAATGTAATCCATCTCCACTTTCTTCTTCTGCATATCTGTTGGGCAATACGATCTTGGTCGGTTGGTTCGTTGCCAGGTCACAGTTCCTTGTTGCTTATTCTTTCTGGCCATCTGATTTTCAGTACTGAGCGTAGACGGCAGCCGTTCATGTATAATGTCTGCAGTTTGTTGGAAATGCTTTTCGTAAGGCGCCAAGTCCCTGAACCATCACTGACCTAACATTAGTGTTGAAAGTCCGGATCTTGTTCCTTACGCTGAGTGCAGTAGATCTCCACACTGATTTCAAAAGCAGTGAACTTGAGGTAGAGGGTTAACTGCCATTCTATACTCTGTTCTGTGATGATGCGTAACGTTGCAATTTGATGCGCAAATGATTTGTACTTCCTGAATCCAGCCTGTTCTGGTTATAATTTTGAATCCAGCTCATTGTTTAGTTTTTTCAAGATGATGCGGCTTAATATTTTGCTTCGAGGGGACAGGGGCATGATTCAGCGCCGTTTCTTACAAAGCCTTATGTCTCCCTTCTTTGGGAGCTTGACAAGGTAGCCCTTCTTCCAATCTGCGGGTACCTTTCCGTCTTTCCAAACCTTTTGCAATAGTAGTATGAGCATGTCCGCTGTTGTCTCTGCGTCTATTTTTAGTGCTTCTGGAGGAATTCCATCCGGTCCTGCTGCTTTGCTGGATTTCAGCATTTTTATGGCATTCAGGACTTCTGCATTTGTCGTAGGGCCAGTGTTCATTGGTAGTTCTGCCGTCGCTGGTGGTATTTCTGGACGAGTTGCATGCAGGTGGGGTCGATTCAAGAGCTTCTGAAGTGGTCAGCCCATTGTTTCCTTTGTTTCTCCTCTCTCCTTGGTAACTAGCTTTCCTTCACTATCTTTCATTGGTTTCATCTGTGTTGATCTCTTCCCGGATAGTAACCTGGCCATTTGATATAATGTTGTCAGGTCTCTCCTATCTGCTGCCTGTTCTGCTTCACTTGCTAATGTATCGTAGAAGTGTCTTTTGCCTTTGCGCGCACTGTTCTTCACTTCTTTGTCCAGTGTTGAATTTTATAGGTTGTATTCAGTTCCTTTTCTCGTCGTTCATCCTTGCACTGGTTCATCTTCTGCTTCGCCATCTTTCTCTCTTCTGTCAGCTTTCATGTGTCTTGTTTCTTCTTCCTTCCTAACAAGGTTATGCAGATTTCCTTCCACGTCGCTTTCACAGATTACACCACTATAGGAACTACGAAATGAACAATTTTAGATTTTTGACATAGAATTTTTATCTGCTGGAGATAAAAAAGTTAATAAGGTTGTGAATTGAAAGTGGAGCTATGGCTCAATGGTTCAGGGGATGATTATCAATCAGCGGGTCATGCGTTCGAACCCCGCCCACTTGTCGACGTTTGGGCAGTCAGGTAGTATCATTACTTCTCACACAAATAGGTGTGGCTCGCCGCCTACTTTACGAATGTGCACAAGAAGGCTGACTACTTTCGTTCGTGTGAGTTGAGATGAA